GGGCCCAGTTGTGGCGTTGTTTTTACACACGGGAAGCCAGATCTGGCTTTCACAGCTCTCGTTGCGAAACAAATAAGCCTCTTAGTCGATCCAGTCTGAGTCTTGGTGCATGATGCCCAAGCCAAACCACTCAAAAATTGCAAATATAACCAGAATGTGAATAAGTGCAAGCGCAGCAAGCGAAACACCAGAGTAAATTCAAACAAATTTTGACTGATCAAGTGTTATGTGTGTAGTATAGGGAAGTCTTATGAACCAATCAACTTTTTTGCCAAAAAAAAAACGCTCCAAAATAGCTTCTTTGAGCGAGAGAGTGTGAGGAGAAGAGGTGTTCCTGCTGAAAAAACGCTCAACTTGGCTCCAAAACAGCACCTTCACCCTCAATTGTGATTCAAGATGATTTAATAATGATTCAAGATGACTTAAACATGACTCAAAATGATTCAATAATGACACAACAATGCTGGACCACGTTGTGACCGTGTTGTGACCGCGTTGTGACCGCGTTGTGACCGCGTTGTGACCGCGTTGTGCCGCATTGTGCGTTGTGACCGCGTTGTGTTGTGTTGTGTCCGCGTTGTGCAGCCGTTGTGTTGTGACCGCGTGTGCGTGTGTTTTGACGGCGCTGTGTTGTGACCGTGACCGCGTTGTGTGTGTCCGGGTTGTGTCCGCGTTGTGCAGCCGTTGTGTTGTGACCGCGTGTGCGTGCGTTTTGACGGCGCTGTGTTGTGACCGCGTTGTGTGCGCGTTGTGACCGCGTTGTGTTGTGACCGCGTTGTGACCGTACTGACCGCGTTGTGACCGCGTTGTGACCGCGTTGTGACCGCGTCGTGTTGTGTCCGCGTTGTGTCCGCGTTGTGCAGCTGTTGTGTTGTGACCGCGTGTGCGTGCGTTTTGACGGCGCTGTGTTGTGACCGCGTGACCGCGTTGTGTTGTGTCCGCGTTTGTGTCCGCGTTGTGCAGCCGTTGTGTTGTGACCGCGTTGTTTCCGCGTTGTGACCGCGTTGTGCTGTGACCGCGTTGTGACCGTACGTTGGGCCGTTGTGTTGTGACCGCGTGTGCGTGCGTTTTGACGGCGTTGTGTTGTGACCGCGTTGTGTCCGCATTGTGCGCGTTGTGACCGCGTTGTGTCCGCATTGTGAGTTGTGACCGCGTTGTGTTGTGACCGCGGTGTTTCCGCGTTGTGTTGTGACCGTTGTGACCGTAGTGACCGCGTTGTGACCGTGTTGTGACAGCGTTGCAGACTTTCGAATAGACTTCAAAAAGACTGCAGTCTTTACCGTAAAGACTGTAGTCTCCACCGTCAAAGATTCCACAAAGACTGAGTCTCTTACCGAGTCTCTGCAGCAGTGCTGCTTAAGCATTATACTGCAGTTTGCAGCGCTTTTGCGGTTCGCCACTGTTCTTCGCGACGCTGCAACAATGCTGATCAGGCGGGATGGTGGCAGAACAGACAGGGAGGGCAGTGGGGCGGAGCAGCAGTGACCGAGCAGCAGTGGCAGGGCAGCAGTTGGGCAGAGTGGCAAGGCAGCAGTGGCAGGGCTAGCAGGGCAGCAGTGGCAGGGCAGCAGGGCGGAGTGGAAGGGCGGGCAGGGTGGCAGGCAGCTGTGGCTGTGGCGCGGCAGCCGGCAGCAGTGTGGCAGAGCACAGGGCAGGGCAGTAGCTTGCTAGCTCGCCGAGGCTTCGTGCTCGAGCAGGTGTGGGTCCAGGTAGCGCTGGAGGCCGTTGGCCCCGAAGGGCGCGTCGTCCCCCAACAGTAGCTCGCCAACACCACGGCGCCCGGGGCGGCAGCACGGCGGCGCAAACAAGCCCGCTACCGCGAACTGACCGCGGAGGGGGCCCAGCGCTTGTGCGTCCTCGCGACTGAAGGCGGTGGAGCACGGATTGCGAGTCTCCTGCGAAGGTTCGTCCGCTTGCGTGCCGCGCGTGCGCCGCCCGCAGTCCGCGCGGCCGCTGCGCAAGGCTGGGCCAGCCGGTGTGGGGCGTCCTCGCAGTGGCCGTGCAGCGCGCCGTCTGCAGCGCTGTCCTGGGAAGGTGGACGATGCCTGCCCTGCCGACAGCTGAGGCCCCCGTCCTGCTGGCGGACATACTGGCGCAGGCCCCAGAAGAGTCGCCCAGTGGGTGGGGGCTGCGGTGAGCCAGCCTTTCACCCCTGCCCCTACGACGGATGGCATCGACCTTCGTGCGGAAAAAGGTGCGAAGAAAAAAAAAGCCAGCCTCCCACAGTCTTGTCGCCCGTGGCGTCCGATCGGCATGTAAAATGTTTGATGTCCCCCAACCGATCCTTGAAAATCCGTGCGCTGTGCCTGGGCTGTTAGTTCCTTTTCTGGGTTGCTGGTTTTATCTTTTTTTTTTTTTTTTTTTTTCAACGGCTCTTTTCCCGCAAGCGAATCTCTATGTACAAGGCCAAACCTCCCCTCGTTCCCACTGCTGCCTCACGGGCGGGCCGGCAGGCGGCTGGCAATCACCGGGAAGGTGTGGCGGGCCTCCGCCAACGTGCCATCGCACTCGTCCGCCATATCAAAGGGGAGCTCCAGCAACGACCAGGCCAGGGCCCGCTGGACGGCCATAGCCAACATTCCCACCCAGCGGTGGCATGCCGCTTGGCGCGCAGACTGCCGGAGCTGCGCCGGAGCTGCGCGGGCTTTCGAAGCCGCCAAGCGGCGGAGGAATCCAACCTCTACGACGAGTATGCCCTGATTGGCTTCTTTTTTTTTGGCTTCCCTTGAGCTATGGCGGCGTGATCGAGGGGGTATGTTGAGTCCCTGGACATCAGCTGATGGACAGGGCGGCAACATGTTGGTTGATGAGCGGATGCTTAGACGTGGCCCGCTACGAGCGTCGCCTTTTCTGTTTTTTTTTTTTTTTTTTTTTTCCGCCCCTTTTCTCCGCCATTTTTTTCTTTCCGCACCTTTTCTCCGCCAGCCGGAAAGTCATAGCGTCGGGGTCACCGGGGCGGGGGGGTCAGCGGGCAGGGAGGCGGCTTGCGGCGACAATCCGTTCCCAGCGGCCGTCAGCGAGGAGCTCATGCAGCTCGGGCTCGCTGTCGTCGCCGTTGGCCTCGCCCGCAAGGGGCAGCTCAAGGAGTGAGCTGGCGAAGGAGCGCTGCGCCGCGACAGCGAGCAGCGCAGTCCAGCGGGAGATCCATGCTGCCCGGGCCGCAGGTCGCAAGTGCGCCGGGACAGTCGCAGCTCGATGGCGCGCAAGCAGGCGGAGGAAGGTGGCTGCTTCAACGCCGAAGCGCCCCCCGACCTCAAGCCCGATCACGACAAGGCGGCAGCGCCGTGCCCGCTGCAGTTCCGGATACGTACCGTGCCTCTTGCGCCTCGCTGCTGCGGCGACGCAGTGCCCAGGCTCGACGTCAGCCCGTGGGTGGGGTTCCCCTGCACGCGTCAGCGGCGACACGAGGGTGGCATCGAGGGCGAGTTGCGCACCGTGCCACAGGGGGAGCCCGTTGGCGACCACTTCAATCCGCCGGTCATCGGCGACGGGCACGTCTTTCTGTTGTTTCGTCCCTCGTTGCGGGTAAACAGTGATGCGATGCCACACTTGGGTCGCCCTTGACACGAACCGGTCATCCGCAACCATGTGCAGCGGTAGCCGATGGAGCAGCGCTGCGGGTGGCCGAACGCCGAAAGCGCACTACTTACCCAGAGCTTTCACACGGGGAAGCGCAGCTGGTTCCAGGTCCTGTTGGTGCAGGCCAGCTGCAAGAGATCGCGGACCATGTGAAAGCCTGCGTGGTCGCAGACGCCGGCGTCGCACATACGTCCGGCTTCGTAACAGGTCTCCTCACCCTCGCTATCGGCCGGTGTGGTCCAGGGAGACAGCCAGGTGGCGAGCGTCGCGGGGCCGCCTGGCAGGACGTCCTCCAGGGATTTCGCTGCCCGACGTGCGCGCTTGCGCTTCGGAGCAGCCTGGCTTTGCCGCGCTTGGTTGGGGGCGCCATGGTTGCGAATTGTGATTCCAGGTCTTGTTTGGTAGTATAAGGCGCATCCTCACCCGGTCTGTTTGCCGGGCTCGGCCAGCAGGCTGAGGTTCGCGCCTGGTATGGAAGCCCGCCCTTCCGACACACCCCGGCATGCCCGGCGTATCCGGCATATCCGGCATATTCGGCATGCGTAAGAAAAACCATGTTTTTGGCACGTTTTGGGGTCAAAAAGAGGTTGTTGGAAGTAGTGTCAAAAACACACGACTTTGAAACACGTGAGCTTCGCTTTTATTTTCCGTAGGGCAGTGACCTCAAGTAGGTGACTTCTCTCTGTGAACGCCGACACAGCCGGCGACTCCTTCCAATTGAGGAAGCTCTGCTGGGAGCCTGACAAGTGGTGGTCACAGCATCCTTGACTCGAACAGATTTGAGCAGAGCCTGTGCAATGTGCTCGTTCAACACGGGCTCCGGGTCAGAGGCAACATTTACCACAATGGGAGTTTGGAGATACTCGCAGACTCGACAACTTTGCACGATGCGCACATGTTCGTTCTTCAAGTCCATCGGCAAGGTCTCAAACATATGGAAGGGGTGCGCGAGAAGTGGAACGTGTACAAAGGTGCTTTGGACAACGCCGGGCTGAGAGTATGTAGCAGGGCTGAGAGCTGGACAAATGGTTCAATGGCACCAAAGGGAACCCACCAACCGCCTGAAACCTTAAGCAAGGAATCCTTTGGCGTGATTGAGCAAGAAACCTCTGGCATGTTTGGCATTGTATGGTTGGCCGGTTGGCCCAAAAGAACTGAAGCTTCCAGAGCCGGTGTACGGCATTGCTGCGTGCCAAAAAGTACGGGATGCCGCTTTTGACATGTGCACGGTGCTTGCTGCTGCAACTTCGGACTGGCCTTTTGATTCAGAATACAGTTCTTTGCTGTGAGCATTCTCAAGCGTATCCCAGTCACAAAGAGCAGGACGAGCAATTGTGGCTAGCGCCTAGGATAGGAGTCTAGACAGCCAATAGACGAACGAATCGCGAGATGGTTTGAGGTGTGGAGCTCTGGAACCAAGTATGGGCCAAGTACCATCTGCGTGTCGTCATCGTCATCAGAACCGGCAGATGCTGGACATCCAGCGTCAGGATCGAGCAGGCAAGCGACATCGACTGCAAGAGCTTCGAGAACAGGAGTTCCCCTCTGACAATGATGACGATGGCATTTGGCGCGCGTGGGGCGGTGAAGGTGAGTTGTCGCTGGCAGATGGTCGACCGTTCAGCAGCGGCACTGAGGGCGATCACAGTGGCAAAGAGTTTGAAGAAGCTCTGCGTGAAGTGTTGGGCTTAGCTGAAAATCATCTTAGCCTAACCCGAGACGGCGGCCTTGATGCGGAGGTTGCATCAAGACTGAAGAAGGCTCATCGCCGTGTTGCACGAGACCTCGCAGAGGTGGAGTGCGCTCACATCATCGGCTGGAATGCTCATTTCAACAAAGCGCAACTGGATGGTGTTGGAAACCTGTCAAAGGACATGTTGCAGATGGGCGAATGGGTTCTGGAGCCCGAAAAGACGAGCGGCCTATGCGTTGCAGAATTTTGCATCAACTCAAAAGCATTCTCTGCGAAGCTATACCAACTTGGGAGAGTTGCCGAGATGATTCAGGCAGGAGCGCAGTGGCTCGAGGCACGCCCCTGCTCGGATGACATCAACAGTACTGACCGCATCACCTACCTCATCGTTGTCGACAAATCTCGTCCTCGGTTTTTTCCTGAAAGGATTCTCCGCAGATATACTGCGCTCAACCAAGCCTTTGAAAATGGCAGGTTCGGCGTACTGTACGTCAGCGTGACAACACTGGCGCGTGCGTTGAAACGAGGCCATTTGTTTGGGATGGTGAGTCTTTGTTTCTCTTGCCTTCATCATCCATCAGCGCAATTTCCACGATTGGCCGGCTTCGTGTGACAGGTAGATACATGCTTTCCTGATTCTACTTCTTTAGTGCACTGGCTTCTGTGGATTCTGATTGTGAGAATGAGATTGCACATCACCTGCGAGGCAGTGCCGCCCCAGCGCAGCCGACAGTCGTTTGGGCCTGTCAACTTCGCAAGGACGACGACTTCGATGGAGCCTTCATGTTCATGTGCAAGTGCTTCAGTCGAAGGGGTTGGGTTTCCATGATGGTCTCCTGTAACTGCCCAGTCCCAACACGGCATCTAAGATTTGCAGGGTTTGTTGCACTTCTTGTGTCCAGCATCACTCGAGTCGCAAGGGACGGTCAAGGAAAAGCTGAGGCCCAAGGAGGATTCCGATGCAGACAAATCATGTCCATGTTGAAAGCAGTGCATTCTCGAAAGCAGCACTGCGGAGTTTATTTTTTTCGGAACGTTCCTTGGCTCCACTCACTCGATTGCCTCAGTGCGTTCTTTGCGTTTCTGAGTGGTTCTCCACGCTTTTGGTGGGTGACGTCAAGTGGATGACCTGAAGAAAGCCCTGTGCTTAGAGCTTGCACGCGGATTCAGCTCGTGCTGTCTTCGGTTGCAAAAGAAGGCGATGACTAAGATTGAAGTTTTGAGTGTCCCAAAGTTCATGTTCCGCCTGCCAATTTGTACATGTTGTACATGTCCTGCGGTGCCCTGGCTCCCTGACCTTGCAGGACGACAATGGTGGCTTCCAGCTCGTGGGCAATGCTATTCCAATCGACCCGGTGCCGCAAAACATTGCACTCCAGACATGTATTTGTTGAACGTATTTTGATCGCGCTCCGTCTTTGTGTGAACTCGAAGTTTGATCAGATGCTGTGCGTCTTTGCTTGAATGCTGTCAGGCATACCTGAAGGAAGTGCTGACCTCAAGCCGAACTTCGCTCATCCTGTCCGAACTGATTGCACTAGGACGATGACAAAGATTGAGGTTTTGAGTGCGCATGTCTTGTAGGCAACAAGTCCTGTAGCGGAACTGAGCTTTCATTTTCCAGCGAGCCCTTGCTGAGCACTGCTTGAGGCTATCAAGAAGAAGAAGCCAAATCGAGTGACGTGCGATGCAGATGAAATTGTTATTCACAGCCTGAAGGAGAGCTTTTCATGTCAATCCCACTCTCCTCCCTGTGCCGCGTCTCAGCGTGACTTCGCAGGACAAGGACTGGGTGAAGGAAGACACGATGTCAGCAAGACTGCGAGACACAACTGAGCCCAGCGCTTGGTTTCGACGCCTTTTCAGCTTAGGGGGGTTTTGCCGCCGCCCCGCTCGCAGGGCAAATTGCTATGGGTTCACGCTGCCACCAGCGGACGACGCTTGAGTTGCGCGCGTGTGCCTCAGCGCCGGAGTTTGAGCGCTGCGAACTTGCACCCGTCCTTGTTGTGTGAGCTTCTCGGCTCTGAGGTAGCAGCAGCATCACTGACGTTTTTTTGCGCTGCAGCTTTGCTTGACTTCCAGGATTGGCAGACAGCAGTTCAACGCTCACATTCCTTGAGCAGGCTACGGCGTTCAAGTTTTCAAGTCAAGCGGGGCGTGCAACGGGTACAGGACCAGCGACACAGAGGCCAGTGCTGGTCAAAAGCAGTTTCACAGAGGCGCTCTTGGTCGTGCTTAAGTGCACAGACGCGATCAATCCATTTGAAGAAATCTGGGGGAAGAGCGCTTGCGTTGCATTGCTCAGCCAGTACTCACCTGCCAGCATTATGTGGAACGCTTCAAGCATGACAGTAATTTTGTGCAAGTGTTGTCCAGCCCTGCCATTCTTCAACTTTGAGTCTTACTTGTTAACGTGATTTTTCTCCCTGATTCGTGAATGAAATTGGAGAATCCGTGCTCGCAGCTGTGCGGGCTCTGGGTTTGACTCGTCAACCTTGCGACGTGCATGATGCAAATCGTCCATGTTTGCAAGTGACGTGCTTCGAACGTGCAGCAAATAGTGAACGATCTCTACTTCGAGGCCACACCAGTTCTATGTTAGCCTGCTTGTCCAGCTGGCTGCTTAAACAATCTGCATACTTTGTTGTCTTGAGCCTTTCGCACGCGCAAGGAAACATAAGCCGCTGCTGAAAGATAAGCGGGTGCAGCGTCAGCGATGAAGGGCGCACTGCTTTGCACTGCAGTCTGACACCACTCATCGCTATGGCCCTTGCCACTGATCAGTGTCTCACACAGACAGCTACGGCGACTAGAGGCAAGCGACCGGGAACAAAACAGGAAGGATTCGCCACTCAACGGCATTGAGGCTAACCAGCAGTTAGCCGCAACAAAACTAGCAAACAAAACTGAAACATCAAATCTGAGAATACAGGTTTTGAATAGGATTAGAAACACAAGATAGAACTTTTTACACTGTGACACGCATCCGCCCGATGGATCCAATCTTTTCCCACCCGTAGTGACCCGTAGTGACCCGTCGTGACCCGTAGTGAGCGGGGGTGGGCGGTCCTCTCGATCAAGCCATGACGCGCCTCACATCTTCCGTCGTAACGCGCGGATCTTGCAATCGAGCTTGTTTGACACGTAGTGACCGTTACAGCAGCATCGCGACGAACAGAGTCGAATCGTAAAAGCACTGCAAACCACACGGCGTGAAGAACACAACAACACGTTGCTGACACTAGGTTTTCCAATTCCTCGTCGAGCTGGTCCCTCACCCTGAGAACGATGCACTCAGCGACGCAGGCGATCGGCAGCCCTGATGCAAAACCGGGCGAGCCCCGGAATCAAACCGAGTGAGCCCCGGAATCAAACCGAGCGAACCCCGGAATCAAGCCGAGCGAACCGCGGAATCATAGTGGCGATTCAGTGGCGACTCAGTGGCGACCCTGTGGCGACCCTGTGGCGACCCAATTGCAACCTATTGACAACCCTGCCTTGCCACTGCTGCCCGTCCACTGCTGCCACTGCTGCTCTGCCACTCCTGTCCTTAACTGCCCTGCCACTGCTGCCATGCCCTGCCCACTCTGCACAGCTGCCCTGCCACTCCACTGCTGCCCTGCCAGCCCTGCCCTGCCACAGCCACTGCTGCTTGGCCACTGCTGCTGCTCTGCACTCCCGCCTGGCCACTCCCACTGCCCTGTCTGTTCTGCCACCATCCCGCCTGATCAGCATTGTTGCAGCGTCGCGAAGAACAGTGGCGAACCGCAAAAGCGCTGCAAACTGCAGTATAATGCTTAAGCAGCACTGCTGCAGAGACTCGGTAAGAGACTCAGTCTTTGTGGAATCTTTGACGGTGGAGACTACAGTCTTTACGGTAAAGACTGCAGTCTTTTTGAAGTCTATTCGAAGTCTGCAACGCTGTCACAACACGGTCACAACGCGGTCACTACGGTCACAACGCGGTCACAACACAACGCGGAAACACCGCGGTCACAACACAACGCGGTCACAACTCACAATGCGGACACAACGCGGTCACAACGCGCACAATGCGGACACAACGCGGTCACAACACAACGCCGTCAAAACGCACGCACACGCGGTCACAACACAACGGCCCAACGTACGGTCACAACGCGGTCACAGCACAACGCGGTCACAACGCGGAAACAACGCGGTCACAACACAACGGCTGCACAACGCGGACACAAACGCGGACACAACACAACGCGGTCACGCGGTCACAACACAGCGCCGTCAAAACACACGCACACGCGGTCACAACACAACGGCTGCACAACGCGGACACAACGCGGACACAACACGACGCGGTCACAACGCGGTCACAACGCGGTCACAACGCGGTCAGTACGGTCACAACGCGGTCACAACACAACGCGGTCACAACGCGCACACAACGCGGTCACAACACAGCGCCGTCAAAACGCACGCACACGCGGTCACAACACAACGGCTGCACAACGCGGACACAACCCGGACACAACACAACGCGGTCACGGTCACAACACAGCGCCGTCAAAACACACGCACACGCGGTCACAACACAACGGCTGCACAACGCGGACACAACACAACACAACGCGGTCACAACGCACAATGCGGCACAACGCGGTCACAACGCGGTCACAACGCGGTCACAACACGGTCACAACGCGGTCCAGCATTGTTGTGTCATTATTGAATCATTTTGAGTCATGTTTAAGTCATCTTGAATCATTATTAAATCATCTTGAATCACAATTGAGTCATTATTGAGTCATTAATGAACTGTTTTTGACAAGTAGGGGCTGTTTTGCAGCGAAGTTGAGCGTTTTTTTTTCCGCTTTAAAACAGCCATAAGCCTGCTCAGGTTGAAGGTGCTGTTTTGGAGCCAAGTTGAGCGTTTTTTCAGCAGGAACACCTCTTCTCCTCACACCCTCTCGCTCAAAGAAGCTATTTTGGAGCTTTTTTTGGCAAAAAAGTTAATTGGTTCATAAGACTTCCCTATACTACACACTTGATTTGAGGTTTTTTCAACATTTTCGGGTACTCAGAAATTTTGAAAATTCGTTGAATGGTGCTGAATCCAGGGAAGAATTGCAACGTGCAACCAACAAAAGACAAAGAATTGAAAGCACCCAGCCTGAAAGAAAGCAGAGTTTCTTCTGCTCAATCTTCTGTAAATTTCAGTGTGCCTTGAACAATGGAATGGAAATAAGGCTTGGGCGACTCTCAAGTCGTTCTGGCCATAAATGAGAAGAGGTCAGTGTGATTGTTTTTTTTTGAGGTTAGCAAGAACTGCAAAAACATTGGTTTTTCTTTTTCAACTTTGGAGAATCGAGAAAACACTGGAAAGAAGCTAGAGTCATAAAACTTAGACAACTTTCTTCAGATTCAGCAGCAGATTCATGCACAGCAACCCTTTTTTTGGTTCAAATTGCCGTTGCCCGTCTGAACAGAATTTTTCTCTTGCTTTTTTTGCTTTTTGTTTTCTTTGTTTTTGGTCGGAATGATCTTTCGGTTAAGTTGCAAGCTTCAGAAAAAGAAAGTTTCAAGAAACCGTAAACCAAAACACAAACAGATCGTTCAGTAGCTGTTGATTGACAGAAA